TGTGATGGTTGCAATCCGGACGATCTAGGAATAGATGCGTACGTGGAAGCCATATTGAAGCAAATGCCTGTGTCTGATGAAAAGTTGGAAGAAATTCGTAATGCAACGAAGGATGACAATGAATTACAAGAGCTTCAAAAGCAAGTCCAGAGAGGATGGCCTGATGAAGTGAAAAACGTAGGTGAGTTGATTCGTCAATACTGGAATTACAGGGACGAGATCACGGTGATTAACGGAATTCTGTTCAAGGCAGAAGGAGCCTCTTCATCCTCACGAAATACCGTTGCCTCCATGGCAGAGAGTGGCCACTGATTTATTTGTTTGGAATAATTCCAATTATGTATTGGTGGTGGATTATTACAGCACTTCGAGATATCGCAACTTGTCAATACAAAGAGCACAACGGTGATTCGACATATTACGTCAATATTTGCCAGACATGGTATACCAGAAGTCGTCATTTCGGACAATGGTCCCCAGTACTCTTCGTAGAGAGCGTACCGTCCAAACCGTGAAGAATCTACTAAAAAAGGCTAAAGCAAGTAATCAAGATCCATATTTCAGCTTGTTAAGTTACAGGAACATGCCAATTCAAATAACCGGATCTCCAGCACAATTATTGATGAATCGAAGGCTTAGAACAGACCTGCCTACCCATCACAAACAATTGTTACCGAAATTGACTAATCACCAATCAATAAGAAAAATGTTGGAAGAAAAGAAATTGGAGCAGAAAGAACATTATGACCGTACAGCAAAGCCTCTACCTCCGTTGAATCTGAATTATAGTGTTCGAGTATGCCAAAAAGAACATGGAAATCAGCTGTGGTAGCTGATAAGGACGAGACACCAAGGTCGTTCCATGTTCGTACTCCGGACGGAAGAAAGTTTAGACGGAACAGGCAACATCTTCTTCAAGTTTCGGAATCAGAAGATAATGAACAGTCAATGTCTACAGATAACTCAACAAACAAGATAGAAAAAGCACTACAATCGCCACTAAAAGCCACTCAGGAAGGAAATTCGGAACAATATCCTGCAGCTGATCACATGAAATTGCGATCAGGACGAGTCGTGAAGAAACCTCAGAGATTTGGTGACTATGTTTAGATTAACATAATAGTAACATTATATAGCTAACACTTGTATAAAATTTTTGGAACATTTATTAACATTATATTTTAGAAAAACGTAAACAAACAAAAATAGTAACTTTAAGTTTCTAATTAAACAGGGGAGATGTAATATATTCATATTAGTTTAATTAATTCATGACATGTGTACATAAATAAGTGTGTTTGAGCACACAGAGAGAATTTCGATTCAAATACAAGAGAGAACACAACAATAGTCATGGTCTTAGAATTAATGGTAAATCCCAAGAATGTTAAGCTCTGGATTAGAATGAAAACTGACTTATCAGGGTGTACAACAAACCCGAGACATTCCAGTAGTTTCATGGTCTCAACAATGGTATGCATGCATTCAGCATAGCATTTGCCCTGCAAATATAAGTCGTCAATATGGGCAATAATAATATGGCCATTGATTCTAAGTCAGGCCAATGGTGGTTTTAAAAAGTTTTGTAAACTTCCTTGGATAAGTTGATAAACCATTCGGAAAAACTGTGAACTTGAACAGTGTATTGCCATAGCAAAACTTTAGAATTTTTTGGTGTTCTTGGTCTACTCGCACATTATAGTAAGCATCTTTTAGGTCAATAGAGGCCATCCAGCAATTTTTAAAGAAATGGTTTTATCGATTCTCTGCGTTTAAAGGATAGCTCTTTAGAAACATGCCCAATGAGTGCAGTGGCATCTACCAATTTTGAAACAACCATTTTTTGGTCTGTTTACCTTTTCATTTCATGACTTGGCATGATATCATTCAAAGAGCTCATTATAGCCGAAACACTGGTCCGTAATGTATCTTGCAGGTTGGCAAGTTTAATATCTTTTTTCCTGGTATACCCTGGCATTTTATACCATATTTCTGTGTTTACCTTTGGCACATATAGTTGCTCACAATTTTGGGGTCTTGGATGTTTTTGCAGGATATTTTTCAATTTTCCAGGCTCTAGTTCTACAATAAAATTTTTGTCTGTAATTTTGGTGAGTTTTTCGTTTATTGCTGGACCTTTATCGGTAGTTTCGAAAAGATCTTGCGAAATTGAACTCAAAAGATCATCTTCGTTATCTAAGTTGGAAATTTTGGCTTCATCCTTGCCGCCATCATGATCATATTCACCTTCAGAGCCACCGAAAAGACTTAAAACATTGTCATTAATGACATTTTGTGCATTGACATCTTGGTCATTTTCACTACTTTATTGCCCTGACTTATTATTCAGTCAGTCAATATTTTTGAAGTAAAAACTTTTTCATCAGATATGTTCAACATTTTCGTGAAGTCGTACATTTTACTCCTGTGAAAAAAACAGGATTCAACTTCAAGAAATTTACCGAAACGAAAATGCAGTTGACTGACAGGTAAATATACTATTCATAAATTTCATTTTTTAGATAAAATTTCACCATTTTTTTTCGTGAACAGCATTTAGATAAATGTTGTTGTTTATATATTTTAATATTTGACCAAAAAACGGTGGCACAAGAAGTTAAATGTATAGTTTGAGGTTTGAACAACCTAGTCTGTACTGGGAAGTAATTTATTTTACATATTACATACATATTTTAGACATTTTCTTGAAAGAATGCTAAAAGGTAACAAGATGTAAAGAGCTTTACACTTAATTAAAGTCCAAAGAAACAAAGGATAAGAATCATTGGCAGGAGGAAGATGTGCAATTTCAGCCAAGGGTAGCCTGCCTATTTGTTTAGCTGGATTTCATTAGCCAGAAGAAATTTTTCTGTACTGAACTATATCATCATATATCATGTATATTGATGAGCTTATTAGCTTTAACCTATAATGATGAACTATTAAATTGAAAGCTTCCAGCAGTCAGCACCATGCAGTGGTCAGGGCCGTGCCTCCTAGGGGGGTGTGGGGGGTGTATCACCCCCCCAAAATAAATGCTAAGGGCCCTGATTTTGGGGACGAACTTGCCTTATTTCAGTTATTTGATTTAACAACAAAGCTAAAAATAATTATATTTATGAAGAAAATAACCAACATTTTTCGATTTTCAACTGGTTTTCTCCCCTAATGTCTTCTCAAACTAGCGTTTTCTTCTCGTTTTCTCCCCCTTTGAAGCACGACTTACATGAAGTTTTCCGCGCTTATTTTGATCACATCAACTGTGGGCTCATTTTCATCATATTGAAAGATTCTAAGCAGGATTAAAGCCAAATTAAGCCGGGTATTTATTCATTTATTCGTAACTATTATTGTTGCTATGTAATATTTATCCACTACAGTTTACTCCATGAAGGCACGATGCATAACGGCATAAATTAGTGTATTACTGTATAATTGTATTTGTATTTTTCAGATGAGCTAATAGTAATACATATTTGAGTAGTTTGATGCTTTTAAATCTTAGATGTCTGCACAACAGCTTTCGAACACTTCTGGTGCAGCTAAAAGAAGAGCCAAAAAACGCAAATGTGAACAGGTAGCGAAAATAGCTGGTTCAATGCACAAATATATTGTTGTAAACAATCCAGAAAGCCAAAATAGTGCAACCACATCTGTCGAAGTCGAACTAGCGCATGCTGATAATGTCAATGAACTGAATAAAGTCCAATTTAACACAAAAATACCAGAAGGAGAAAGTATGGTTTTTATTGATGATTCCATAAACTTGTCACAGCTAAATGCACAGGAAGAACATCAAGCAAAATTAGCAAATGAAACTATGACAACACATGATGAACTTGAAGCAAATATAGAACAAAGAGACAAAAATATATTAATGCATAGTAATAGTGTTTTGAATGAATGTGATTGCTTGATGGACGAGGTAACGAATATTGACACCTCGGCTGAATCTAGTGCAATTATTAACAATAATCCTTGTGATGAAACGCTTGTGTTTGTGTGGAAAACCATGAAACGCTGTCTGCAAGTGATATGATAACGTCTGCTGAGAGTAATGACATTTTGGTTGGTTGTGAAGGTGAGAAATCAAGTTGGGCATCCTGTGCTGCTAAAGCATCAGTGCTTGGAAGCCTTGCAATAGCAATACAAACGCTAGCTTCCACAACGGTACAGAATGAGTCTTTTAACCCAACAGAATTTCTTGTGCAAGTTGTGGAGCTTTCTGATCGCACACAAAATCTTGCATCAGATGTATACACAGAAGCACAAAAACTCTTAACAGAATACCAACAAGCAACTCACTTTAAGTGTGTTTCGCACGAAGAAAACGACCTAGTTGACCATGATCCCGGAAAAAGGCCACTCAAGTTGTCGGATAATCAGAAGAAGCACTTAATAATGCTTGGACCTTGTCAGCCACGACTAACTTATTTTCCAAAAACGAAAGAATTGGAAATTAAATCAAAGCAGTGCAAGTTTTCTGATCATTGGTACAGTGAGTTTCCCCACTTGGAATATAGCGTATCAGAAGACGCAGCATTTTGTTTCATATGCACGCTTTTCCCTCATGGGCCAGGTCAGAGCAAAGCTGATCAGTCCTGGATTACAGGAATTCGTACTTTGTCCAAAATGAAAGGAAGTTTGGGACGAAACAAGGAAGGCAAGCTTCTTGCCCATTTTACTAGCGAATCACACAAGGCAGCATTGATGGACTTCCTGAGTTTTACGAGGACCAATTCACATGTTGATGTACAAGTAAGCAAGGAAATGCGTGCATGCCTATTAGCCGAAGAGAAACTCCGACTACAAAACACTGAAGTGATTACTATTTTACTTGATGTTGCACGTACAATGGCGCGGCAGGGTTTGGCATTCCGAGGTGATGGCGATGACACGGAGAGAATTTCCATCAAATTACACTTCTTCTAAGCAGGCACAACCCACCTTTAAAGCACTGGCTGGAAAGCAAAGACATGAAGCAATTTCAGATGACGTATATGTCTGGAAAGTCTCAGAATGAATTTATTCAGTTGTTAGCTGATGCTGTCCGTGAGGACATAGTGCATGAAGTGTCCATTGCTGGCATGTTTGGTGTGATGGCTGATACAACACCAGATATCTCAAATAAGGATCAGTTGGCAGTTGCTGTTCGTTATTTGGATACAAATGACCAGCGTGTAGAACGCCTTATTCAAGTGAAAGAAGTGACAGATAAAACTGGGGAAGGAATGGCAAACGCACCTCTATCGTCACTAGCGGAGTGTAAGATTGACAATTCAACCTTGTGTTTTCAGACATATGACAGCGCTTCCAATATGTCGGGAAAATGCAATGGAGCACAAAAGAAGCTTTCAGAAAAGGTTGAAAGAGAGATAATCTATGTACCATGTATTGCTCATGGGGCAAACTTAGTCAGCGAACACAGCAGTAACTCTAGTGCCCTCATAAAAAACATGTATGAAGTTCTGGAAGCAATATACGTGTTTTTCAACGCAAGTACAAAACGTTCAAAGGCATTAGCTGATCTACTGAAAGAAGTTGAAAATTCACTACAATTAAGGAATCTGTCAAAAACACGATGGACAGTTCGTCCTGAGTCAGTCGAAGCCGCATGGAGAAGCTTTGATACTGTTGTTGAAGCACACAGAGCATTAAATTGTAGTGAAAAAGCTAATCCAGATACCAAAACCAAAGCATCTGGTTTACTGGGTCGAATGCTAAGATTTGATTTCATTATTTCACTAATGTTCGCTAAAAACGTTTTCATCAAGACCAAGATGATGACGAAGGTGCTAGAAAGAGAAACCCTTGACATAACTGGAGCTATAGAAGCTTTAACAATGACGAGAGAAAACATTCAGAGAATCAGAGAATCAGATGCGGAAATAGACGATCTTATAGATGCATCTGTGTCATTTGCTTCCAATTTCGAAGTGGTTGCAATTTCTGAGTACGAGAGATATCATCGAACTAGAAGATTACCTAGGCGCCTTGACGAAAGACAAAACACCACTGCCGAGATGGAAATGCCTAAATTTTATAGGAAAGAGTTTGCTCTTGTTCTGGATACCCTTCTTTTACAAATACAAGAGAAAGCTGAGAACATAAAGTCTGCATTGAAACCTCTGTTGGACGGTCTGTGCCCAACACAACTGCAGACTTATGAACAAATTGAAAAACTTTGCCAGATCTATCCAAATGACCTCCCACACCCAGCCTTGTTGTTTGCCGAATCTGAAATGTTCCTTCCATACCTTCATGAACCTGCGAAAAGTAATAGCATCTCAGAGTCAGATATTACTTACAGATACGCTGCTGATCTAGCCCTTCGCCAAAGTCGTGTTGGCCTATTTCCCTTGCTAGCAAAAGCATACAGGCTTTTGCTCACCGCAGCTCCCACAGTATGCAAAGACGAGAGAAGTTTTAGTAAGCTTAAGTTTGTCAAGTCCCGCTGTAGAAATTCAATGGACAATAAAAGACTTGATTCTCTTATGCTTTTGGCATGCGAAAAAGATCTGGCTGAGAAGGTTGATCTCCAAAACCTTGGCAAGGTGTGGTCTGGAATTAAACACAGGCGCATTAAATTGATATGACTGTACATTCCTTCGTTTGGGCAAAATTAAACTTGCAATGGTTAGATTCTAATTATTTGTAACTGTAAAAGATTTACTGAAACATTAAATAAGTTGCGACTTTTAAGGGGCCCCAAAAGTCGATAAAGTGTTGAGGGGCCCAAAATTTTGTGACACCCCCCCAATAAAATATTGGTCAGCACGGCCCTGGCAGTGGTCAGCACTATAATTGTCTGACTGCACAGGCCATGCTCCTTCCATGATATAAAACCAGTAATTATGGCCCCTATGGTCATATATTTGCAAATAATAATGCAGAGGCTGCATTAAGGCTGCATTAAGGCTGCATTAAGGCTGCATTAAGGAAGATTAGAACCAGGGATGTTTGTAGGCCAAGATATCTATGGTAATTATTATTGATTATATGCAAAAGGGGCTCACCAGTTTCTCCCAGATTAGCTTGCAATGACTGGAAAAGGTTCTTTGGAAATGAAATAAACAAAGCCTTATCAATTGTAATATTTATTTTCTTTTAATAAAACATTAGTAAGGTAAGTAATGAATTTTGACTGTAAAAACACGCCATAGCATAGTCACATCCTGTATAAAACTTGCAGTCATGGTCACATTCAACAAATCTTTCTAGTCTAAATAAACGCTTTTCTGCTTCTTCAACTCTTTTGAAGAGAATCACATTTTGCTTGTGAAGTATCTATTTGCTCTGAAGTATCCATTTTAAGTTAATTTGAAATAGGGCACAAACTTTAGTAACATATATTTCTTCACTGTTTGTGGGTATATTTTCATTGACATTTATAGTAGACGTTTTATCCTCAATTGTAGTGGAAACAATTTCTGGCTTAAAGAGCTTTCTATGAGCTTTAACATTTTGCAGGATTGTTAATACTGTTTGTATGTTATTCAAATAGATTTTGAATTTGGACGAATGTTTTTGAAACTTTTTGTCTATAGTAATTTTTGATAATCGATTTTTTTTTGCAATACCTGATCTTTTGGTATTTTGTGAAATTAAATTTCAGTTTTTTTTTTATCATTGCATTATGGAACATCGCAGTTGATGCCTCCACTTTTAACTTTGCAGGCACTTGTGCTTGAAATAGCTCGCATATTGTCTACATACTTTGAGGTGCTAGGTCCCATTTTGCCAGATATATATTTAAATTTATATTTCTATATTTATATTTTGTTCAATTAATAAAAAAATATACTATTTAATAAGTAGAATAATTTAAAATACTACATTTCAAATGCTGCCTCTCATTTATATGTTTTTGTTTTGAATCTTTTAAGGTTGATGTTTTAATATTGTATCTTCAAAAAGAACAGTGTCAGCAGTGGCTTGCCCACTAGGAACATTTCCATTGTTGCAAAACCTGGGTACATGTCAAAACATCTGGGAGTTCTAGTAGCTCTAATTGTACATAGTCAGTAATTTGATATAGCATAGCAGCAACATGTTTACATTGGCCTCCTTTTCCTGCCTTGCATGAACAACGAGCATGAACAACATCTCTGGGAAAAATTGGTTTAGCTGCACATAAACAATATAATTTAACTTCTCCATAGATGCATGTACATTTGCTTTCAGTAAAAGCAATTTTTCCTTTGTACTTGTTAGAATATTAGATCCTATGTTCTCATCTTTTTAGTGCCAGATTGCTCAGACTGCATGCTTAAGTGTTTTTGGAGTTTAGGCCGCACCAAATTAGACTTTAGTTTCCTGTCCGCCGCCTGCATCCCTCAGAGTTACCCGCATGATTTGTCATTATTGCTATTTTGTTTCCATTATTTGCTGTTGAGAAAGTTTACAGTATAAAATGAGCCAATTCTATATCAACGGGACAGAAAATTATAAAGAAACGGTAATAAACAGCCAAAAGTGGGTATTTTTGGCAATATTGGTAAATAAAAACCGCTGTGTTTCAAGTAATGCGTGACTGCTGACATTCTTTCGGGGAAATTACACCACGAAAATCTTACATTTGCAATTCAAATAAACTTTTACTGCTTTCATTGTAAATTTACATATTTCTTGAGCTATGTTTTGATAAATGGTGTATGTTTCCTGTGGATGCATGCATAACAACAATCTTAAGATGGACTATGCTATAAGTAGTGACGAAAGAATGAGTGTTTGTAATTTCTACAACAAAGTAAGTTATTTTAATATAAATTATATTTATTAAATAAATGTATACATTACCAGAAATGAGGGACAAGATGGCAGATGAGCATGCTATTTTTTTCAAAATGGCATCAGTTATTTTTAAGAGAAGAGTGGGAAAATGTTTAAATATGTGGATAAACAGAATGCAAAGATTCGAGACTGTACTCAGGAGCTAAATGAATGGAAGAGTAAGATAATCGAAGATATGAGGAAGGAAGTAAATGACTTAGAAAAGGAGTCTAACAAGGAACTAAGAGACTGTTCAAATGTTCAAATTCTAGAACGAAACGAAGCTTTAAAGTGTCAAGGAAAATCTGCAAATTATTTGGGGGGTAAACAAAAGGGACAAAAGCTTCAACTGTTTAAGAACAAAGCCCAGTGTGCATTATGGTTCTGCAAGAGCTTTGATCTGGATCTGACCAACATAAGACCGCAAGATGAAAGTGGCTGTAGCTACACAGTGGAATATCCCATTCCATCCACCTCAGCTCCTGATAACAATCAAGGTAAACATGAAAAGTTGCCTAATGAGGAAAAGAAAATTATTGAATGTGTGCTATTCCTTCTTGATAAATTTTTTGTTGGGGATGAGGTTTATCATGAACTCTCATTTACAATTAAAGGACTGCCAAAGTCTTATTTAATCAAGCAACTAAGAGGTGAGTTAAATAAGACTTATAGACCATATAGAGAGGATGCCTGCATGTATGGCATAAACATTGGCATTTTCGGCCAACTTTACCTATGCTTTGCCTCAGTGGTGTAGCCAGCCTGATGATTTTGTCCCGCTATGTAAATTTCAAGTTATTATAATTATTCGTGCCTTTAGAAATCTATTGTTTACACAGTCAGTGAACACCAAAATATTAGCATAGCGGGTCAAATCGACAGGCTGGCTACGCTACTGCTTTGCCTGCAAATAGCCAGCACACAGGCAACCCTAAAAATAATATCCAATTTAAAACAACACAATATCCAATTTATCCTATTACTGTGTTAAGAGAAGAAGCTGCACTGTGGCTTAAAATCATGCATCATAGACTTGGTGGAAGATGTAGAATTTGGCAGCCTTTATTGAAATTTACAGAAATATTCATTACAAACTTTTCAAAGTACTCTGGAAGTTGACAAAGGGAATTTGTGGGTTTTGCATGCTGTTTTGTTACCACAGTAGCAACAAGAAAACTTGTGTTATATCTTTCACTTCCATTTGTCTAGTTTGTGAATTATTGTGCTTGCTAAGTGGCATTTCCGAAGAAAGTATTGCTTCCTACTTCAAAAGATTTCTCAGTGTAAAAAGAAAGGGTAACAATGCATCAGTTATAGTATCTGCAGTGAAGGACTTTTCATTTATCTACAAGATAAAACAGGGAAGAATAACTATAGCTTTTCACATTGGGGAATGGAATGCTTAGGAATTTCCCCAGCACAGTTAAATTGACTAAAAACATGTACTAAAGTTATATACAAAACATCAAAAGTCATGCATGCAGGGACTTAAGTTTGACATATAAATCAACATATACAGTTATATTGTAAACTACAATTTTTTCCCTTTGAAAGTCATTTTGTCGTTATCATAGACAAACAGACAGTTATGATAAAAATATTTAGTTGTTAAAGTTTTTGGACTTTGATTGGCTTAAATTTTGATGTTTTTCATCTCATAAAATTTTCCCAATTTGGGTAGCGCAGCAGGGGGTCGACAAGAAATCCCACAACTTTTCACAGGCTGTGACATAGCATAATCACTCTGTGCACAGGCTACAGTACCTATATCCCTGCATTAAATAATTCTTATTATGGATTATATTGAAGCAACTTTATTTCTAAAAATATTTTCAAAATATGTACAACATTAAATTTAATGTAATGTACATTATAAAAACTTCATCCATTATAAAACTAGGGATCCAAGGATAGTGCAAAGTTTTCATGCCCTGTAATACCTAAGCAACCAGACGTTTTCCCAACATAAACATTTTGACTTATGCCAGTAAAAATATAATGAACTAGGTTAAACATTAATCAAAAGAAAAGTACTCAAGTTACGTTAGTCGCGGATACTGTCACTTTTAAATTATAATTTTAGTTGCCCATGTAAACCGGGCGCAATTTTCTCAGTTTAGTCTCTTTTCTTCATCAAACAACTGTGACTACATTCACTACATTTATATAATGGCAACAATTTATCCGTCATTTTATAAGTATAGCCGAAATAGTTGCGTTGTAAATAATGTAAATAAATCGCGGTGTATATTTATGTCTATGATGTGGATACTTCGACGCGTAAATCGATACAAAACAATATACTTATAATCAATACTGTATACTGCCAAAATGATTTGATTACTGCACAAAATGTCTGTTTTGTATAGTATCATTTATGTACTGTATGCAGAATACCAGGTATGGACTTGCTATTGACATAATATGTATTCGTCTAAGAGATCTATCAATACATAAACAACACAGCGTCGATTCTTTCTAACCTCTTTGCTCTCTTTACGGAATAAACCTTCCAAATTATATTTGTGTTGAATTGAATGCTCTTAATTCATAACATAAGATGATAAATTGTGTAGATTCTCAAAGAATTGCTCGATTTTTACGCCTGTAATGTTTTGAAGCAACGCTCGTCGCTCCTTGTCTCTTTATATCGTGAATATAAATGTTCAAGGCTCTACGCCACATGTGCAGTTGCGACGTATAAGAAAAAATCAGGTGTTCCGGGGGACAATTATGCGCAAATCCCTTTGAAACAAAACCCAAACCACAGAAAAGCAATGCCTCAAAATGTACAGTAAGGGTCAAAATTCCTTAATATTTTGGT